AGTCTCCTGAACGGTGGACCCGAGCACTGTGGAAATATCACAAAACTCCACCCTCACGCCGACCAACCCTCTACCTGGCAACCAGCTGTCTAGGCAATCGGACTCCCAGAAACACACTCAGATTTATGCGCTCTGAATGGTGGGAAAGACGACTTGGATCTACGGGGCTAGGCAGAGATCAGAAGGACGAGAAGTCGAGAACAGAGCTCGGATGGGCACGGATATCGCTGGGAACGTGAGCGAGTCAGGACACTCTTGGCTTTGGATTCTCGCTGTGCTGAACTGGTTGGTATTGTGGCCTTCGACATCCTATGAGAACTTGGTCAGAAAGCGTAGAGAGACATACGAGGTTGCTGAAGAGAAGATAGAAATTCATAAAATTGTAGGGTCATGAACAACGAGAGTGCCCTGTCTTCTCAAGAATAGGCAGTCCCAAAACTATTCAACATGAAAGCTATTAAATCCGCAAATCTGTCGTTGTCTGATATGTGCAACGCATCATTATAGTCTTACCCATAGGGTATGATCAAATATCCTGTGTACAAAGCAGTATGTGCAAAAATTATGTACACTATATGCCACAAAAAAAATGTCAAAACAAACAATCATCATCAAACGTCAACATCATATAGGCTGTATGATCAATCAAGAAAAAACAAGTGGGGAATCTCTGTGCAAATGAATGTCTAAGCATAACAAACACCCATGCAAGATTTGGAAAACTCGAAACCAACTCCTCGCCAATGAGTATGAGTCTATGCAACGCTCAAGTATCTCCAACAACCATATAGTCATGCGTAACTAAGGCCTCCGAGAATCGTACGGCTCTCGTTAGCCGCCATGTTCGTCACCCCGAGGGCGCGCACTTGCGTGCCTTTCCGTAGCCGCTGCAGGCCAATGCCGACCTTCCATCCTTCCGTCTCTTGCAGAACGAAGACATATCTTTTGCCTTCCTGGTCGCGGATGCTAGCCCGCAAGACGTGCAAGCTCTGCGTCTCGCTGCCAACGGCGCTGCCGTTCCGACTGGAGCCTCCCGGGGTAGCAAGTCGGCAGGTATTCTTGCAAACCTTCAACAAACTGTTCAAATAGGCATCCGACTCTTCTGAAGTGGGCTCTCCGGTGCCTCGACGGAAGAATAGATTGCTGGGCTTGGGAGCCTGCGGGTTCTTTTGTCCGCCGTACTGGGGACACCACACCTCGGCCAATTTCATGGTCCAGGCCTTGACATCCCACTCCCGCTGAGGCACTCCTCGCACATCGTCGTCGATGAACAGCCCTTCGGTAGTGATGCGAAGGACCAACCCGTCCGTCACCATTCCTTGACCGGACACTAACTGCGCCACTGGAGTCCGAGGAAAGGCGTTGTTAAAGGCGAACACGCCGCGAATAACAATTTTGTCGGGGTCTTTGGTCGAGTACCCGCCTCGGATCGACGGAGGCGGCGTGGTTCGGGCTGTTGATTGAGAAGGAGTATACGAAGACTCTGAATATACGGATGATCTGGACTCAGCACCGTACGGCCGCCTAGGTCGGTCGTAGGGCCGAAAGGAGTAGGCATCGTCTTCGGTCGTTGATGTGGCAGTCCGTGCATTGGGAAAGGGCGGCTTCTTGGGCGACGGAGTGCGTGGAGGTGGCGCACCTGCCGTTGCTGATTTTTGGCTGGAGGCCTTGGATGCGGCTTCCTTTGCGGATGCAGCTTCCTTGGCTGCCGCTTCCTGAGCGTCTTTGGCCTTCTTCTCGGCGTATTTCTTCGCCGCGGCCTCTTTGAGAGCGGCAAACTTGGCATCGGCTTCCTTTTTGGCGGCAGCTTTCTCGGCGGCCTCCTTCTCAGCTGCTTCCTTCTCTGCTTTTGCCTTTGCTTCCGCAGCTTCACGCTCAGCCTTTGCCTTGAGTACCGCAGCGACTCTCTCCCTTCTCTCCTTTGCCTCCTTGGCTTCGCGTTCAGCCTTTGCTTTTGCTTCCGCGGCTTCTCTGTCGGCTTTTTCTTTGGCCTCTGCAGCTTCCCTTTCGGCTTTCGCTTTACGCTCTGCGGCCTCCTTTTCAGCCTTTGCGCGAGCTTCTGCCGCTTCCCTCTCAGCCTTCTCGCGGGCCTCCCTTTCAGCCTTTTCCTTAGCGGCAGCCATCTCTTTCTCGAGCTGCTCTCGACGCTCACGAAGCTCTCGCTCCATGGCTTCCCGCTCCCGCTTCTGTTGCTTTTCGCGCGCTTCAGCTTCCCGTTTTCGTTTGAACTCTTCCATCTTGCGGCGAAGCTCTTCCTTTCTTCTTGTTTCCTCTCGGGCTTTCTCCCAATCCTCTCCACTCTGAGGCTTGCTCTCCTTCTTGTTCGAGGTCGAACCACTATCGCTAGGTGGGGGATCGGCCTTGGGGGGAGGCGGCGACTGGGGTTGAGGCGGAGGAGCACCAGCGCCATACTGATTACCGGCGTACTGGTTCCCAGGAGGAGGGCCACCATAGTTCCCACCAAAGTTGCCCTGCTGTCCTCCAGACTGATTATTAAAGTTACCACCTCTCGAGTAATTTCCACCGGCCCCTGAGGATTGATGAGAGCCTGCACCGGCGCCGGCGCCAGCGCCCCCAGATCCAAATCCACCAGACCCGAAGCCTCCGGGTCCTGGACGACCACCTTGTTGAGAGCCACCGGCGCCAGAGTCCGATTGAGATACACCAAAAGCCCATCCGGCAATGCCGACTCCGATGGCCAGAACGGCCATTCCTGTACCGCTCCCACTCGCGATCGTGGCGACGTACCACGTCTTGACAAGCGGCGCCAGCGTCACCCATAACAGAACCACAAACAGTGTGCATACCGATCCAGCGATGAAGCTATTTCGATGGCATTGTAGCGAAGGAAGGTATAGGAATCCGGAGCCCGACGAGTGGGGCGGGATAATAAAAATATCGTAGTTCCCCGTCGGGAGATCTGACGACTTCCGATATTCGCCTTGGGTGGTGTTTGGTTTTTCACCGTGAGGCGGAGGCGGGGGCGGAGGGCCATCCATGATGTTGTGGAATTATTGACCAGAGAATAAGAAAGAGACGGGAGAAAAAAGGAAAAAGGAAGTCGTTAGATGGACGCGGGGGGGTATCTCGGATACGTTGAGTCGGTCGTTGCACAAGGAAACCGTCTGGGCTCCCTATTGCAGTCCCTCACTTGCTATAGCTGTTGCAAATGGAACTGAGACGTAAAAAGCGACGGAAAGAACATGTTCATAACAACATTTGATTTGACGCTGCGGTCGTGCCACTCAGCGCTTGTTTCTGTCAGGAAGCCAGAAGAGTCAGTGTCTGAGACCATCACGGCTCTGGGAGTACAGTATTACGGAGGACATACCTTTTTGCCGAAGAACTGAACCCGATAATGGATACCCCACCAGGAAACAGGAATAGCAATCCGAGTTCGATCCACCCAGAGTCAAGGAAGATACAGATGCGAGGGAGCAAGAAGTGGGATGCAGAAGAGGGACGGGAGAGAAAGGAAAAAAAAAGAGAAACAGAAAAAAAAAAAGCTAGGCGGCAAGCGACGGCGTGATGATCGCACCAGAGTTAAAACCTGCAGCAGGCCGCAACGGTTGGCCCAATAATCCCGGTCGACGGCCGGGTTTAAAAAGCACTACAGGCAGACAAGTAGGCTGTGTAACTGGAGCGGGATTAGATCCGGCGATAGCATTGGTATCTAGCTATCTATAGAGCTAGAATAGGCGATTACTGGAGTTGATGCGCTGGCATTTCCATGCGGTCTTGCGGTCTCGATAGGTTGTTGTTTGTTTTGATTTTGTTTGCGGGGGGTTGCTATTTGCTCTACGGGGTCCTTGAGGTGGTCTTATTTAGATGGAAGGTGACTTGGATAGATTGTTTGACTCAATTATTTCGAATTGAAGAGACCCTCCATTTCCATTACATCCGTAATCCAATTTAATCAAGCATGCACGGAGCACGGAGTCCAAATTAGACAGACGCAACATACCTCCGCGAATCTCACGGGAAGCCTCCAACTACCTAACCTAACTAGGGGACCCGGGATCGGGAGAAATGGAGGCTGTAACGAAGCTTATTCCAATGCTCTTAGGTATTTGGTATTCACTGCTCTTGAATAATGATTCCTACCGTTAATCAAGTGTTACTCCGTGGAGGTTTTAAGGAAAAGTAGGTAACAAAAGTGCCTTATGGAGTGGAGCGTCTTTGTTCTCTGCAGTCCATTTTGTTTGTTTTGGTTTTTCTGGTTATGGACTAGTGCAATCCGTTGCAGGGGATGCTGATTGGCTGAGGAGTTGGGTTCGCTGACGTAATTGAACTTTCCTGATTGGGTAGGGCATCGCTGCGGTGCCTGGGTGCCTGTGTGCCTGGGGCTGGGGCCTGGCTAGTTCTACTACTTAGGATGATTATTGTAAGATTGTTCATGAGGAACTTTGTGTTACGGACAGTGAAATAACATATCATCAACGTATTCATTCATCAGATACCCAAGGAACATAAAATCCATGGGAATCCCGACATAGCCGGCATAAATTAGCAATAACATGACCCAAGAGTATATAACGCCAGAATGGCTGGGATCTCTCTCCCTTGCTCATCATACCCATCCTGATCGTGGCAGGTGGTTGTTGCAAATATCACAATAAAACACGTCCCATCTATGTGAAGGGTTGAAATGAAAAAGAAAAATGGAAATGGAAAAATGGGAAAAGCCAAAAAAAAAAAAGAAACAATCAGAAAGAGAAAAAAGACATCAAGTCTATCGTGTCGGTTTCAGTCTCAAATCATGCAACGCACTCCGGGGAATAATCGAAAAGACCATGTATAGGCAGCCATAGCAGATGCAATCGAGAAAAAAAAAGGTAGGAAAGGTGTCCACAGAATGTGCGGGATGCAGCCCAAAGTCAAATCAAACCGTTGACCATTGCACTGCAGTTCGTCTGGTTCTGTACTGTCGTGTTGAATAAAATCATCGCTCTCGAGAAGAAGACTTTTTCTTGGTCGTTCTGTGGCGTTGGTCAAATCGTCTAGAACGGGAATCCTCCGGGGAAGCCGCCGCCACGAGACTGTCCACCACCGAATGGGCTGCCACCGGCTTGGGCGAATCCACCGCCGCCACCACCACCGCCGTTCATCATGTTGAACAGGATGTTGGGATCGATGTTGATATGGGTACCGCCCATGCCGCCCATGCCACCCATGCCTCCCATTCCACCCATACCGCTCATGCCTCCCATGCCGCCGAAGCCGCCACCGGAGAACATGTCGGAGGGGTCGACCAAGTCGTCACCGTTGTCGTAAGAAGCACGCTTCCTATTGCCTGGTTAGAGCGCTGACAAAAGGTGAACATAGGTTAAGGGAATTAACTTACTGAGGGTCAATCAGAGTTTCGTAGGCCTCTCCGATTTCCTTGAACTTCTCGTCGCCGGCCTCTCCATCGCGGTTCTTGTCCGGGTGGTACTTGATGGCCAACTTGCGGTACGCCTTCTTGATCTCGTGGTCCGTGGCGTCCTTGCTGACTTCAAGGATCTTGTAGTAGTCCTTCCGGGCGGCCTTCTTGAGCTCGAACTCGGCCTTGCGAATGTCTTCCTGGATGCCCTTCTCGGTGGGGTTGGTTTCGGCCACGGCCTTGTAGTCGCGCACGGCTTCTTCCCAGTTGCCGGCTCCACCGTGGGCCTTGGCACGCATCTTCTGCGCTTTGATGTACGACGGGTCCAAGCGCAGGGCCTCGTTGCAGTCGTTGACTGCGTTGTCGTATTCCTTCAGGTTAATATGGGCCTGAGCACGGTTCTGCAGGATCTTCGCGTTCATATCCTTGTTGCTGGGGTCAACCGCCACGGCCTGAGTCCAGAGGTCAATGGCCTTGCGGTAGTCCTTGGCCTTGAAAGCAGCATTTCCTTCCTCCTTGGTACGGACCAGCTTCTGCACCGTGCGAAGGAGCTTGATGGCCTGTTTCATATCCGGGTCCAGACCAAGACACATCTTCAACAGCTTCAACGCCTGCTCGGTCTCTCCCATTCCGTAGAAGGCACGAGCACGGATCATCAGCGCATCGGGGTCCTGGCTGTTCTCTCGGAGCATACCGATGGCAATGTCCTGGGCCTTTCCGAGCGAGTTATCGTTGCCCATCTTCAGCTGGGCCTCAGCGGCCAGCAAAGTCCACTTGCGGGGCTCCTTGACACCCTGGCCCAAGAGCTGCTTAGCCTGGTCCAGACAGAAAACGACCATGGACACTCCCCGATCTTGCGACAGAGTCTCCTCCGCCTGAATAAGAAAGCGCTGCATCTTCTCAGCGAGGGCACGATCGGTCGCAGACGCAGGGGGGTCAATCCGATCAAGGACCTCGAGAGCCTCAGACGGGCGACCCAGACTGGTCAGGATCCGCGCGAGACGGTACATGATCTTGGAATTGGAGGGGTCGAGCTCGAGCGCTCGCTCAGCATCTTCCAGGGCATTCAGGTATTGATGAGCGGATATGTGGGCTGCCGCACGGTTGGACAGGTAGACGGAGGAGTTAGGGTTAATTTCCACGGCTGGCGATCACAGTTAGAAAAATTTGATTCAGCGACAGATGTCAAGACAGAAAGCACACACCCTTGTTGAATTCCTCGATCGCTCTGGCAAAGTTTCCATCTTTGAAAAATTTATTTCCGGCCAGTTTGAAAGAGTCGGCCTCAGCCGTAGTGCCGTTGGACGTGTGAGGCGGCGGGGTAGGGCTACGCTCGTTCTGCGTGCCGTTGACTCCATTGGCAGCAGCAGAGGGAGATTGCAAACGAGGATCATTGCTATCGATGTCCATCGAGCTTCGATCAGCAGCAGCGGCCATGGCTGTGAGTCGACGGAGCTCGTCGGGCGGAAGATTTAGCGGGTGAGAGTTGGGGTCGTGCGAGGACCGGCGACCGGCGGAGCGAGAGGAACGAGAGGCGGAGAAACTGAATCTCGCAGTGGCCGACGTGGAATGGCGAGAAGTTGAGGGGGAAGAAGAAGATTTAGACGGCGTCGATGAAGTCCGACTGTGAGAGGGACGAGACGAGGGTTTGCGCGGAAGAGGGTGATTGGTCGGAGGGGTGGGAGGGAGGTTAGAATTAGTGTAGGGAGGAGGCGGAGGACGTTGAGAGTGAGGATGAGGATGAGGATGGGGAGGAAGAGACGAGGAAGAAGTGGAAGTGGAAGAGGAGGAAGTATACGGGTCGACAGAAGAATCCCGAGGTGGCGGTTCAGAAGCAGACAAAGGCTTGGAAGATCTCTTCTTTGACTTGTTGCGAGAGAAAAGTTGCGGAAGAACCATTTCCTCTTTTTTTTTTCCCTTTTTTTCCAATCTTTTCTTTGAATTTCCTGAGGATTTGATGCCGCTGATTGGCGGGTCCGATCGAAGGGCGGCGAAGGCGGTGGAATCTTTCTTTCTCTCTCTCTCCGGTTTCTTTCCGCCGCTTCTCTCGCTCTCTCTCTTTCTCTCTCGGTCGGTCACGGCGGGCGTCTGGTTCAACGGCTCAATCCTACTCCGTCATAATGCGTCGCACTTCGATCAAAATGGACGAGAGAACGCAATGCAGCAATTCAGTAACGTGTCAATAGTATCACCTCTCCAAGATAATAAGATCAATCCTTCTATCGCCGAGCAATCGGAATGAGTAAGACAAGACAAGAAGACAACGCGGAAAACGAAACGTTGAAGAAGAGAAATACTAGTAGCCCCGGTGCATGCCGGTGATTCCCTCGTGGATTATATGACCTTTTCTCCTCCGAGACTTGTTTGTCCTGGACGACCGATCTGCTCCTCCACTTGTGAAAATCTTGGAGGCTGGTGATGGGTGACGAACGCCCTTAGCGTGCAGCCGTCGAATCCCATCGAGCTTTCCCTCCGGATGGGCGCTTCTGGCTCCTTACGTACTTTGGCTGTCTGTCCTCCTAACTGGTTTCATGTCTCTCCTCCGTCCTGTCAATTTATCAATCAATCAATTTCATTCACCCAGTCCAGAGGCTTAGCTGCCAGCACTATTTTTTTCGGTTTTTTTTTTTTTTTTTTTGGTTTTTCCTTTTTTCCCCTATCGCTCCCAAGTCCAAAGACACCGGTGGCCATTAGTCCATCTCCTCCATACCCACAAACGACTATCCTTCCAACTCCAATTGGTCCTGACTGGATAACGCTCCAAAGTCCCTAGCAACCCATTATTCATCTGCATCTGCTGCTCCCTGCTCATGTCCCTCCCACTGCTCATGCCTGGGGGTCCCAGTCTGGTCTTTCCTTAAACGGCAATCTTCCATTTTGCTCCGTCCCCCTCGATAGCCTCCAGCACAACTTGCCATGGAGACAATGTCTGTCGCTCTATTCCTGGTTGAGAAGCTGGCCCAACTGCAAGTCTGATATCATTTCCTTGACAATTCCACCCAAATAACCTCGGACCTTGATCTGTTTGGTTGTGAACTGACGGATCTGAGGTTCAATAAGCGCTATGTAGTAGTCGTTTTTCATGGAATTCATTATCACGGTCATGATTTCTTGGAGGTTGTCCTCTGTATCCCTCTCTAACTCGTCTAGGCTTTTCCGGACTCGCTCGGTACATTCGTGAACGATGTGGTCTGCGTTTTCTGCTACCGTCTGGGTCACGGTATCTTTCATTCGACGGTAAGTGCCTTTTCCTGTGGAGTTTTTCGGTTAGTTCATTGGAATCAGTCGCATTCATTCTCGTTGATAACCTAGCTCTTTCCTTTGCGCACGCTTCATATGTCGACGCCAATTTCTCTCGAATTGTAGCGGGGAAAACGCAGCTTATCTCCCTCTGTGCCGCTTTGGTATTGTCCTCTATAGCTTTGAGGTCAACCTCCAAAGTTTGGCTGTGGCTATGAAGTGCCGCACTCAGCATGTCCATATGCTCATCTGTGAGCTCATGCTTAGCAGAACGAATAGCAGCCCAGTGAAAATCTGTCAGGGCCTTTTGAAGTACTCGGCCCAAATCTTTGAACCCCCACTTAATGAAATATGCAAAGGTTTCTCCCCAATTATGATGGATTGTTTTCCATAAATGATATGCCCTGTCGATAGTGGTCAATATCTAAGTGAAAAGAGGACAGCAATTTTTGAAGTACTCACAAATCCCCATTCTAATCGATCTTGCGATACATCCCATCACGACTGCAAGTAGCACGATAGGTTTGCCAATGGACCCCTCCATTGTTTCGAGAGGCATGCCATTCGGAGACCGTGCTAGAAAAATCCTCGCATACTGTGACTGAAGCTTGGTCTAGATTGGTTAGCCTTTTGTTGCGCACAAATTCTCCAGGAACTTACTCAACTTGTTCACTACGTCCTGGTAGAAAGCCTTTTGGACCTTTATCAAAAACATTCTCCACGCTTCTTTTGCTGACTTCGGAAATCAGAAAACTACCCATGTAGAAAGGAAGGGGCCGCATACAGAAAGAAAAGCTTGGCGTGTCTTTTGGAAGTCAGCCTCTATCTCACTTCTCTTGTTCGCCGACACGAAGACAGTTGTTGGACTAGCTGATAATGTCCATACAGTCATTGAACGAAGCAATCGCTGAAGATGGGTCAAGAAGCGTCTTGCACCCTTTTTTCTTGCTTCCTCCGTCAACGTTATGCAATGGCGCTGTAACTGCAAGATGCCTGTCTCTTCGTAGTATGTGAATCCCTCTACAGTGGCTTCCTTGCGCATCCGACCGCGCAATTTTTGATACGCTCGTGCCGATACACAGAAGACAGGGAGATCTCTTGCCAGCTTCTGGTAATCTTGGGTCATTCTGTGTTTGGTCCCTTTAGCTGTGGTCTCGTCCGGTTCCTCGCTGGATTCCTCGTCGAGGTCTTGAAATCCGCGCGCGAAGTCGCGCTTGATCTCGTCCCTGGAGTATTTGTTGCGAGCTTGAATGCATTTTCGATGAACATCTAGCTTCATATTGCGAGTCGCCGTTTGAAACTCGTCAATCTCAATTTCTTTAGATTTGATATTCTGACTCATGGGCCGTCTCTGGGAAACAAGCTTCTTTCGTTGAGCTTTCAGATCTTGGAGTTTTTCCGTCAACTGATTAGTCACTGGAGTCTTGGGCTCATCTACGTCGTGATCTTCCGAAGCATATTTCGTCAAAAGACCTTCCGGATTCAGTTTGCTATCGTGATATTGAAATTTTCTACTTGAAAGATCCTTAAAGCAAAGGTGACGTTCTCTGCGCCATCATAGAGTTCCGCAATCTCAAGGGTTGACCGGAAGGCGCCGATGGGTAAAGATGCAACTGTACCTCAAATTCATATTTAATTGATTTGGCGCTTGTTTTTACTTTCAGAACCAAGTTTTTCATGCACGGTGACTAGCAACTGGCATATTGCCCGATCGCTCAGATAATCTCGTTCGCTTTCCGTGATGGAGCTTTTGTCAATACGGAGCTCACGCCGGAGCTTATCTGGCGGCTACGAGTTCCCAAACACAGTTCGTCTCTTCCCTTCCGGTGGAGACCCGAAGTTCTCAACACGCCCATTCTTCGACGTTTTGAGCGCACTCCGTATGGTTATGAACTCCATAAGTCTTTATCGATGACTTATGAATCAAGTCGGCAAGCACTCAAAGAGTTAGGCCGAGATACTAAATTCGAAGTTCCGATTAGGCGATCGACGAGGGGTACTGCAAAGCTGACAGGTGTCACATCTGCTCCTGAACCAGAGTGGACAACTCAAAATCGGAAGCGTTCATCCCAGAGAAATCTACAAGCAAAAGAGCATTTGCCTGAGAAACGAGGGAACAAGAAGTCGGGCGGCATGAAAGCTCCCAAAGCGCCCCTACTGCGTCGATCAAAGCGATTGCGGGCTCAATGATTTTGCCTTTCTAAGGCTTTTGAGATTGGAGCACAGTATTGATCTAATGTATCTAGAGTCAACTTTAGTTTCTTATATCGCTGGTTCTCCTTGAGACGGTATCTACCAATAACTATATGCAGGGTCCTCACAGAATTTCTCCCTCGAGAATGAAAAGTCCGAGGTTAGAATTTTCTTTCACTAGAGATTGGTCTCATCTTTCCACCCTGCGATGACACCAAACACGTGAATATTGACACCTGATTCTTCGGGCATAAAGGTATAAGTAAATCCTAAGACATCAGGGAAGGGCTGTATTGCCTTGGCGCCTTCTCGCATTAGCGAAGAACAGATTTGTTAAAGGTTCCTCGGAGGATTTCAAGTGGCTGCACAGGCTTCTGTATTTATTGATGGGGTTGGCTGACAATGGAATTCGGAACTGGAGAAAGGAATTGGCAGAGGTAGCGCTGTCTCTCATACGAGCCGAGAAACAAAGCCTGAGTGTCCACGGCCTTATTTGTTTTCGAAATCGACTGTACTGCTATGAAAAATAGCCCAACTGGAGACAGCAAGTGGAGAAGCCTAAACGACCTTGAAAACTATATCTTAGAGTGAAGTTAACTCACGTACACTTGATGAGAAGGCATCGATCAGTCGTAGGTCAAGGGTAGCCAACGGGCGAGCCAGCTCTTACTTTCCCTCTAGAAAGCCTGTAAATCCAAATGAGTAGCGTCACTCCAACATCAAGAAAATCAAACACGAGTGCGCCTCCAAAAATGATTGCATAGTATGTCCAGGCCAGTGAATTCGGTAAAGAGAGAACAGTCACAACGATCGCCCAAGGAAGTATCCAGCAGAAGTTTGAGCCGAGTGCTTGATATAGGTACCACCGAGGTGAAGCTGCAAGTAAAATAGCTCCGAGTTGATAGTTGAGTCCATAAAAGATGTAGGTCCAGTCAATGGCCTGTAATACGTAAACCAACGGAAAAGTAATATACTGGCTTGAGTACAATAGACCTTTCCTTATTATGTCTCTTATGTTTCTTCCAATTCATTTTATACAATTTTCTTTTCTCTAGCACGCGGAGTATTTTTCAGGGAGCCTCCTTCACCAGACGAGAATGACTGGCTTTATATCTACATGTACTAGCTCACAGTCTCACGTCTTCAAAGAGTATATGGGGGACCTCGGCTTCCACCCTCCTGATAAGCAGGACCGACTTCTCCACGCTCACCTTCAAAGTCCCCTTTCCAAACACGCTCAAACCAAGCGCCATAATAATTACTCTCCGATCCATCATCCTGCACCCGCCATTGCCTGACCACATTCCCACAGTCGTCCAAAAACATATGCAACAAACCCCCGCCATTCACCGCAACATCATCCTCCACATACATATGGGTAACAACACACTCTCCCTGATACAGAGCGTATGGCTAAGAGGATTTTCATCCCAGTCGCCTTCTTCGGCATCCTCTATCGCGTCCCTAAGGCTCTCCTCTCTGATCTCAAAATCGATCCGCTCATTTGCGACACGCTCAGGAAATATTTCCAGGGCAGCTGCCAAATCCAGGCCACCGAAGATACTTTCATCGTCAAGGACAACCCCATCATAAGTAACCCATTCTGCGAGTTCATTGGCAGACCATAGAGCATTATGACCCTCTTCATTCGTGTAGCAGAGACGAAGCCAGCAGCCATTGTCAGCAGTGGTGTTATGACCGTAGACATGCAGTGCTTCAGGCCTTGCAGGCCGAAGAATATCATCTATATGAGCTTGAATAGGAGAGGGTGGTGAATTGCCTGGTCGATAAGGCTAATAAGTTGATATTCGGTTAGTTCAATGTTGTGGTCTTTTACGAGGTATAGAGGGTATTCACCTGTCTTCCTTCGCATCACAATGCGAGAAATTGGCGTAAAAGCCTTTTGCGACGGTCGGCGGGGGACTCATTGGAGACTGAGGAGTCTGGGTGAGGTTTTTCCCATTCGGAAAGGAGATAAACATTCAATCGAGTTTTCCCCCAAGCAGGTATCCGGGGTTATGTTTTTCAATGAAGTGGAGTGGCATTTTGTCCTTGTTCGTCGCGTGGCATGGGAGTTCTAGGAGGAAGATACACGGAGGAGAAACACATCAGGCATTATATAGTCCGAGACTTGGCCATTCTATACTTGGAAGGGATCGCTGCGTCCGCTACATCGGGTATAGCGCTGTTCTAGCACCGCAGGGCGAAGTTGCCTTCGACGTCCTTTCCGAATGCTTTATTGACATCTTCTCCGGAGGCTTTTGTCGCCATGAAGGTGGGCTTCTTTGGATCTCTTGGACCACCGATATCGTCATCTTCGTCATCCGTGGAGGGCCGCCTCTTCAACGGCTTGCGTCTGCCAGGATGTGAGTTGCCTGGATTTGACTTGTGGCTCTTTCCGTGTTTCTTTTGATCCTTTAGTCTTGGGTTCTTGCTGAAGCATTCAGAGTCAACGTGATAAGGTTTCCGGCAGAATGAGCAATATGGAACGTTATCGATCTCGATTCGACATGTCGTTCCGTCGGATGACGGGATGACTTTCTTGTCACCCGGTCCTCGGATTATAGCGAGAGCAGGGAGTGCCTGCACTTCTGTTGGTGTTTGCGCAGCTGTCCCTTTCTATGCTCTTCTTCAATTGCCTTGTTTTCAATGTAGTCGAATGTGGGCGCCGCTTTGGTGATGTTTCCATTTTGGTCCCTTTCATTAACAAGGTCCATCTGCCTAAATATATGATCGCGGAAGCTTTCATACTCAGATCCTAGCGCGTGCATGAAGAATTCTTAAGGGACAGGGCAGGGTTATGCTTCTATGCTTCTCCAAAGTGGGGCAAGGAGTAGTGTAGGACCAATCATGTCGTGCTACTAATGATGCCCAACCCGTGAACGTGATTCCACAGTCGTTCTGAGAAACCTATATAGCCTCTATTCACATACTATAGCAACATACAAGCTTAGAGGACAAGAAAACCCAGAAGCCAGATCTGTCCGCTGAAAAAGTGAAGACGCGCGCCCTGTGTCTCGAATACGAATGCCTAGGCAAACGTCCACCTCGCACTGCACAGCTTGCTGTATCGATGCCATTCTTTCTCCAGATTCAATCTTCGTCGGTCCCATTTTTGTCAAAGAGACTTCCTCCGGAATCCTGTTTGTCGATAAATCTCCCAAATTGACATACTCGCTCGACGAGGAAAATAGTGGTGAAGGAGAAAGGGTTGGCTCTTAACGACTCATCAAGTGCGTTTTGAGTCTGGGTATATACCTGAGGGGCCTATAGAAGAAAGCGAAGAGTCATGACAAGAAGGCGATGCAGTGAATGGCACTCCCCCATGTTCAGCATGACACGTAGGAGTTTGAATATTCGACATTTGCATGATATGACTCGCGTACACCAAAACCACAAACCCACGGACACGTTGCAATGTATACTGCACTTGCATGCATAAACCGCATCATTGTTCCTACTCCTCCTAATGAGGCTCAGCTTGTTGGCCTCAAAGCTGGTGCCATAGAAAGAAAGCCTTCACTGTGCCTCCTGTCAATTCATCAACCTCATATTCAGGAAAGCACGATGCCCTACCGACCATGAGATAGTCGAGAGGGGTTCAGGGCGGACACCGACGTGATGCTAGTGAGGGCTGGCTTCATTGGCTTGTCAGATGGGCTAGAGGGGTGGGTACCCACAGTGACCTTCGATTCGGTGGTGGTCTTACACCTCCTCAGCAGTGTGCGATTGTCCTGGAGAACCTCATGGTCAACTATACGAAGTTTGCAGCAGCCTCAGTGATGCAACCATGGTCAAAATAACACGTCATATCTTGGACATTGTGCATCTGCTTGCCATATATCGTGTTGTTGACTACCACAAACTCACTAACACGTCGCAAACAACCCTGCACTTGCATGCATGAGCATCACCGTCGTTTCCCCTCCCACCTCTATACGGTCAATCTTACATTTATCAGACTTCAATTTTGCAATATCTGCAAACTTGAGGCTGTAGTGATGAGCCAATCGCCAACTGCTTAGTTCATGGCCCAGGAGTTGAATGAAGTAAACGTTCAATTTTCGGCTCTTCGCCATCCTGGAGACGCCAGAGATTTTCCAACTCACGTCAGCCAAAGAGAAAGCGTGATATTTTTCGTGGCAAAGGTCCTGCGTGGTGTGACCTCCTGAAACCAGGGAACTTCCCGGTGCGGAGGAACATTCCGGTTAGTTAGTATAGGATCGAGGGACCCTCCGGTAGGCATCCAGGAACCTTCCTGGATGCTCTGCAGGCAGTATATAGAGGCTCTAGATCCCATGCTTCGGTCATGGAAAGTAACTCAAAATATTTGTTAGCTCTCGTACTATTTTTCACAGATCCACTATGGTGATTTGTGTTCCCTGCAACCAACCATTTCCCTCTCAACATGCCTTGGAACAGCATCTCCAGTCTTCCAAACATCGTTGCGAGCTTTGCAACAAATCTTTCCAATCCGTTGACTCAAAGCGCCAACACACAAGAAGCGCAAAGAACCATTCCATGCCGAACCGTCGCGGTGTAGTCAAAACTGCGCTTCGGCAGACGCTATCACAAGACTACACGGAAGTAAATCATCGACCACCTGCGCTGATGATTGGAGCGATTGGGGATGATCTGATTCTCCCTTATACTGGGATACCTCGAACTGCGGTAACGCCGGTCTTTAAAATGGCATGCCGCCTCCGTTTCATGAAACCTGACGTCGATATGCTATTGAGACGTATCGATACGCAGTTAGACACTATGGTCATCTCAGCGCTTATTGAAGCTGCCCTTCGGCTGTTGCCACCTGATAACTCCCCCAATGGTAGAGCCGAGGCGGAAGAAAGAATGCGGCAAAAGAGCGAGCGGGCGCTCATTCAAGAAACATCTTTCATTGACCAAATGAGAGATCTCGGCTATCAATTTCAGACCGAGAGAGAGCAAAAAGAATCACGACTTAGCCCAACACCTGACATTCGATTCCATGAGCCGGTGTTAGTCAATGGACACTCATGCCACTGGATAGAATACAAGAACTACTTCGGTTTCAAAGCGAATCCGTTTATCACTTCGAAAAACAAGAAGCAATTTAGGAAATATGTCTCTGGGATAGGACCTGGTGCTGTTGTATACAAGTTAGGATATGAGATTGAACACATAGCAATGATTGGGGTCGAAACCTTCCGGGAGGCTGAATTTCTATATAACCTGGGACAAGAGTCAAGGCTAAGAAATTGAGTGTGCAAGTCAAAGGAGAAGGTTTTGAATAAACTTTGGCCTCACTACTCCAATCAAAAAGACTTGATTGGTAAACTGACCCCTGCTTCAATCTTACAGTACCAAACGTAACACGGCTTTCCTAAGAGCAGAAACTCAACGTTTAGGAACGGGACAAAACCACTCACGTCCAATCGAGGAAATACCCATCACTTCATTCTGCTCCATGTCGGCATCTCCATGTCGGCATAGCACTTCTTGTAAACGGGTTTCAGGATCCCCTCGTAGTCGAAATCCGGTCTTGGCTGCAAATCCGATAACGCCAAATCCTGAGCGCGTTGCATGTACCAGCCGCGAGTGACCTTGTCTACCCCCTCCCACTCGACTTCGAAATCGGGACAGGGCCATGCATGGTGCTATTGTCTGGATGTTAGTTATGATATAACACTTTTTTTTTTTTTTTGGGAGGAAGGATTACCTGGCCCTTGGCCTTCCTGGAGGCGCGCATGACGGACGGTTTGTTCGGCGATGTAGTGGAGTTTGGCGAGGTAGTCGATTTCGAGATCCATTTTGGAATTGGTAAGTTGGATATACAAATTGTATATTCTTGAAAGACGGTGGTTGGTGGTATTTGGTAGGGGAAATGAAAGAGGGATGGGGAGGGAATGCTGGATTTGAGAGGTCAGGTGTAATGGCAACTGATGATTGTAGTCAGGAGAAGTGTGATGGTAAGAAGAGAAGAGGTGCGGTGTTGAAAGATGGAAGAAAGATTGTGAGAAAGGTATAGAGAGATGGTGGAAGATATGGTGAGAGTATAAGCAGGGAATGGGGAGTATAGGATGGTGAGATGATAGGTATGATGTGAAAGGTAGGTCAGAGGTAAGATGGTAGAGGAGAGAAGAAAGAGTGGGAAGGTACTAGAATGAGAGGGTAGTAAGAAGAGGTGAAGTAAATGACCTGAGCAAGTAGAAGTAAAGGAAGAGGTGAGGTTGAAGGAACGAGATCTAAGTATGTGGTAAGGTGGTGGTGATATGTAAAGTAAGGTGGGGGGGATGAGAGGTAGGAAAGTCAAAGGTAATATGAGAGTAGATGAAGGAGAGAGTACAACGGGTAAACAAGGAGAGGTGGTCAGAATAAGTGGAAGTATGAGGTATGACAAGGTGATGGAGTAGGAGAATAGCAAGAGGTTGATGAATGGTAGGAGATAGAACTAGCTAAGATCATGGATATGTCTGTGTTGAGCTTCATGAAGAATAAGGAAATAGATAGGTGTCTATAGTAAGGAGTGTAGAGTAGGTATGAAAGATACAAAAGAAATGTAGTATTTATACAAGATCGATAACAACCACCACCTGCTTCTATCCGTCCACTGAAACTCTTCAACTTTCTATGCTTCCATGTCTTTCCATCACCGTAGCTCTCAATAGAGCCATACACGTTTCTATGCATGTACATAGTCATGTTGCCCAGCTAGGTAGCCAAAAACCAGTTCCCACCAGGTCCACACATACATAGCACCAGCTAAGTATGCACCCAACCATGCAGGTCTCAACCGGCCAAGTAGTGTAAACCAAGACACGATACAATGCCTCGTAGACCAAGCAAACGGACACTAAGTCCTTGAGCATCGACAGTCGTGTTTACTCTGCAATTGCAGTATACACTGCGACGCGAGTCTTCGGTCCGTCTGTGCCTTTTCTGTACCTGTACCTGTCATCCTTTGCGCAGCAAAAGACTAGATAGATAGGTAGGCAGGTAAGTAGGCAGAGAAATAGATCGCAGGATTACCGAACCCGCGACCCGACGTAACAGATATCAAAAAAAGATATTGATATCCATTCTTTTCATTCTTCCATCCATGCCAATACCAGAAAAGTAACCCCAGTACACACGACTTCATACTTCGGTGTTTACCCCATCATATAAGCACAACCTTTGACAAAGCCCAAAACCCAAAACCCACCCTTGGGAAGTCAAAGCCCAAACTCCACTCACTCATCTAACCGGCGAAGCCCTCAACCGTCTCGCCACCGCCGTCCACCTTGACCCACCACCCGGGCGACCTCGCGACTGCTCACCCTCAGACCCGGAACCGGATCCAGAAGCCGAGTCAGCAACGGACTCGCCCCGTCTGCGTCGACTTCCACTTCCGGGCCTGTGAACCTGCACTAGCGGCTTGTCGAAGACGTGGTCCTCGTACGCCGGCGGTGCGTCCACCATTGGAGGTGGGTAGAGGTCCGCGGCTGGGTTGATGTTCATGGTGGGTAGTCTCATTGTGTTTGGTTGGTGAGGATGTCCATGTGAGTGGGAGTGTGGATGCATGGCATTCGTGCTTGATGCAGACATGTTCGCGCCCATGCTACCTCCACCACAGTTACAACCATGAGAAGCAGGCGTGTACACCGAAATCTGAGACCCGGAGACAATGACCCAGCTTTTCTCAGAGTCGAGCCAGACAAGCCGTTGAGGGGACGCATCCCTTCGTGCTCTGGTATTGTTGGGGCTGGAAGAAGTAGAACCAGGCGAGGAGGAGGCCCAGGACATGGGAGTTGGGCTGGGGGTGCGGGCGCGGCGGTAGTGTGGCGAGAGGTTGCTGTCCGGGTTGGAGGTGGGGTAGAAGGGGACTTGCGGGTAAGGGACGAGATAGGATTGAGAGCGTGAGTAGCTGTGCGAGGAGGAGGTCTGCGATTGGGGCTGGGATTGCGGTTCCGATTGCAGGGAGTAGATGCGTGAGACGGCGTCTGCGGAGGCGGGCCGTGGAGGAAGTCCTAAGGAGGGGAGGGCATCGAGACGCATCGATGGAGGGTCTCTGGCCGGGGAGTGGCCGAGGATGGGAGGGCCTTCGAGCGAGGAGAGGTCCATTTGTTCTGGTTGTTGTCGTTTGATGTGGGATATAGAGGGGATAGGGTGGTGGTGGTGTTGATGATGCTGATGCTGATGCCGTAGAGACGGGTATAGATATCAGGATGCGGGATACAACAGATGATGCCAGATCAAATGCTGTCAAAACATCAGGACCACGGAACTCTTTTATGTCGTCGTCTGTACTCTTTATCTTCCTAAACCAGGCCGTCCGTGCCGTCAGCGTCGGAAATTTCCTTTGTCGATTCCTTTGTCCGAAACAGCGAGGAAGTGGTACGAACCTGAGATAAAAATAAAAGCGAGATCACAAAAACACTAAATACGGCAGGGCGAGCAAAGAGGGGGAGGGTCGAGGGGTGTTAAAAGAAACCGCCACACGAGCAACAGGGGCAGCGAACAAGAGAGGAAGAGAGAGGGAGAGAGATCATGCAGTCAATCAAAAGGCGCGTCAAGTCAGATGCATCCAATTCGATAGGGCAAGGAGTAGTTATTATAATAATCCCTGCGAGGCGGTGCCCCCTCACCTCCCAGTGGAATAATGAAACCCATCATATCCTGGAGATCTGCTAGGGCTAAATCTTCTACTGACTACTGACTACTCAGTACTAACCCCCTCCCTTGGGTCCATAATGACAACAATCACTTGCCCACGCAACAACGGAACCAGGAGGATCCCAAAGTCCAACACGAACTTGACCCAAGAAAGAAAACCACTAGAAACTGAGCCTCCTTCCTTCCATCGGGCACGCCGTCAAACGAACCCCGCAGGATCTCCTTATACACCGTAAAGGGTTAAAGAAAAAGAGGGTCTAAATGAGACGATTAGGTCAGAACTTTCAAGACCAAGACCCAAGAGATCCAAGTGGGCACGACAAGGACCCAAGACATACACCGTAAACATAAACACAAGGGAAAATAGGCAGAAAAATAAGGGAGAATATTAGATCCAAAGCAGCCCGATGGGTCGGGAAGAGGATTTGGGGTCCGGTCATTAATCATTATCCATTATGGACAAGAGCTCCATAAAAAAATTGGACGACGCCTTAACTCCTGAACAGCGGCGGTTAAGCGCGAACAGGGCCGGTTATTGCCCTATTGGGGAAAATCCAGGGAGAGGGAAGTCCGAGACCCTCGGATGATAGAATCATAACGAGCCCTGACCAACTTTTTGCGGTCAGAATCGAATGATGACAAGGGACAAGGTCGTGGATAGCGGTGGCACTGACGCCGACGGAGCATCCGCCATCGTGAGCCCTGGCGGGGACGGGGGGAACAAGGCCCAGTGGAGGCGCGACTAGCGGACCAGTGGGATGGGACGAAAGGAACTTCTTGGTGTTGGGTGGACACGCGGATTCCCCTTGGGAAGTTGGCAACTGGGAAGGGCTAAGGATACAGCCTTGGGATGACACTGCCACCTTGGCGCTAACCCGACCTTTGGCCTCTCGGTGGGTTCGTTGCGATTCGCTCTCGCTCTCGCTCAATTCCTTCGCGATGCATTATTGACTGGCTCGTTATGGAACGGATATTATACGCCGAGAATTCCTGGCAATTGATTGGGGCTTGTTTTTGTTGTTCAACTGTCTCTTGTATATGTATGTAGGAACTATGAACCTAGGTACACCCTGAGATGTACCTAGTAGAATGGCTTCTGCAGCATGTCAGATACTTCGACTTAATCTCTAATATACTGTGCATTAAGTCATTTACCCACCCCTTATTTACCAGTAGTCTACACCGGCGTACATCTCAAGTCAATGTTTACCAGACTAATAGTCTCGTGTCGTTTCCCCAAACGGGTAGTTAACTCCAAAATATGAAGTAATCCAAGCACATCAAAATCAACCAAAATCAACAATTTCAAACGAAACACAAAATTAAATAATCAAGTATCAAAGAAACAGTAAACACCAACCACCAAAACTTCAAACCGGGATCGACAGCCTCGAAACTCCAAATCTCCCTATGAAACGGTTCAAACCCCTCTGATCTGAGTTCTCCCGACTCCCGATCCCCTCCTTTCATTCATCCGAAACGCTCTGCTTAGCCTTGCGCATGCTGACTAGCCCTCCGTACGGATTATGTCTTGTGAGTGAATATCTAATCTCAAGAGAGCCCGGCACTGGGATTGGCCCCCTCTCTCCTCGGGAAGAGATGCGCGATCAGCCTGATTCAGCCTTCTCGGGGGACTCGTTTAGTCGATCCCGTCGGTCGGATATCTCCGTCCTGGGGTTTTTTTTTTTTTTTTTTTTTTTTTTTTTTCTTCTTCTGAGGACTCCACGGAGTACGCGGTAGTTAGACTTTCTACCATGTTGGTCCTTTGTATATCTCTGTGCCTAAGTCTGGTGTGCTTGGCGGGTGGGTTTAACTGCTAACCTGCAGCCTGTATTGAAGCTACAGATACGCGATGTGGATGCTTCAATGCCAGGGTGCGATAGAATATACATTGCTCACTTCTTCTCCGAGATTACATACTTATTCCAATTAAGTAGGTTAACTAATTCAATTGATCAGCTACGGTCTTCCCTGCATTCAGTGACCAATTTAGTCCTCACTGGGGCTGCCACGGATTGGATAATAACATGTTTATATGTTTAAATGTATTTTGTATATTTCTCATGGAGACATGGTGGCTTTTGTCGAACGATGGAAAAAGATCATTTACACATAACCCACCTGATTCAACCAGCAAGGTAACATTACAGTGGGAACAGTGTCCACACATACAGAGTAACGTAAGAGAAATAGGAGAAAAGAAAGCGTTCAAGTAGACATCCAGTTTACTGAAGTAAAATAGGGGTATCGTTTTTGGTGTAGAGGGTTTCCAATGCAGGGAGGCTACCTAGCTTACCTTAGCCATATGTGGTGACCGAAACGAATGAATCTAACTAAGTAGGATAGCCATGCAGGTGTTTGTTAATCTTTGTAGGAAGAAAGGCCTTCTCAAATGTTGCATTCATGAGAGGACAGATTGTATCTTAGGCGGCCAGATATCTACACAATGAGAGTACCTACGGTGACTGAGGGGGGTGAAATCGAGGCCGACAAAAGACAGGCTCATCATGATGATTCAGACTGGACGACCAGACCGTATGTGTCCAGAGTGTTTCATATAGCCTTACATAGAAACAAAGCTACAAAATAAGTAACTCAATACAAACCACAAGAGAATAAAATAAAATTACTGCTCGGAATCGAATTGACCAAGTTGAAGCGTTCATGGTTTACATTAAATCGTATCCAGCCAAGTGCTTCACAAAAACAACTCCGAAGCAATGGACCAAGAAAGCAAAATATAAAAGAAATATGAAAAAAGGATATATAGACGAGAAGGGGAAAAAAGCAGCGACACAAAAAATGAAAAGATGACGCAAGAAGGGGAAGTCATATTACTCTCTTCCACATTCCCACCAACAAGTATTCACACACACACACACATCATCCACAAGGTTTCTCTAAATGACAAAACACACCGCCCGAATTCAAACATTTCTCAAATTCATCCGGAGATACTTTCCTCCAATCCCTGTGGGGGTTCTTTAGAAAGTCACGGACTCATATTGATTTGACCCGGAAGGTGGTTACCACTATACACAAGAAAGGGTATAAATTTAAGCCAGGAAGAAAGCGGCGGCAGCAGCGGCACCGGCGAAGCCGAAGGAGTTGCTGACGGTGTTGGCAGCACCGGTGAAGAGAGCACCAGGAGCGGAGGTGGAGGGGCTGGAAGATATTGTTAGCTTTGGGTCTGGAAGATCTTCCGTGTCAGATGGATATAAACTTACGTAGCGCTTCCGCTGGGGCCAACGCCAGCACCGTTACCGGGAGAGCCGGGAGCACCGGGGGTGGGGATGACGGGGTTGGAGGGCTTGGGAGCCTGGCCCGTGGGAGCAACACCGGAGGGAACGGTGATGGTGGAGTAGGTGACGGTGGGCACGCAGGTGGTGACAGCCACGACGGAGGTGGTGCTGCCGCCAGCAGGGCCGCTAGGGACACCGGGGTTGCCGGGGACAACGGGGGAGCTGCTGGAGGGAGCAGGAGGGGGCACGACGGGGTTGCTGGTGCCGGGGGCGGGCTGGCTGGGCTGGCCGGCGGGCTGAGTAGGGACACCGGCGGGAGCGGTGGTGGGCTCAACACCAGCCTCGGTGGTGGGCTGAGGGACCTCAGAAGCCTCGGTGGTGGGCTGGGGAGCCTCGGGGGCCTCAGTGGTAGGCTGAGGAACCTGAGTAGCCTCGGTGGTGGCCACGGGGGGAGCGGCAGGGGAGGTCACGGGCTCAACACCCTCGGGGGTGGAGGTCTGGGGCTGACGGCCAGGGCAGTCGGTGACATCGGGAGCGCAAGAGGTGATGGTCACGTCCTCGGTCTGGTAGACGGTGTGAATACCCTCGGGGGCAGCAACGGCCAGGCCGGCGAAGAGAGCAATGGAGGCAGCAGTGAAACGCATTGTGATGGATTGGATTTTTTGGTCTTAAAAAGAACCGTTTATAAAGGGTTTAGAATTAAGAAAGAGAGTGTTAATAGTTGGTTTGAAAAGAGTGGCTGACCGAAGTCAAGTTTGTATATGCTTCAAACAAGTTGGACTTGATGGGAAAGAAAGAACGGATTAGAATCAGAAGGTCGAGAAGGGAGGGAGAGGCTGGAGCCTTTGTATGGCCCGGGAGATTAGGCTGGAGATCGTCTCAGGGACGAAAAAGGGGAGAGAGAAGCAACTCAGACCTGCAAGCCCGGTGGAGCCGGCGGTGCGCTGCAGCGGTGATTGATCGAGACGGTGAGTTGTATTCAGGATTGTTGCCCTCATAGGCAGTCCATTCAACCGGATGGGGCCGCCGCTCTCGAGGGCCCCTCGTGGAAATTGGGGGTTTGGTCATCGTGGTTGGTGGACGAGACCGGTCGCGAGGGCACTAGTTTTGCGCTTAGTTTCTTGTCTTGCTTACGGGGACTCTGGGTTGGCAAAGTATCGCGCCGATGATCTGTCGGTCGCTTGCTGCTTTGAGACAAGGACCAGAAACTTGAGAGGTCATCGTGGCTGTGGATCGATGGATTCCGCGTCATCCAACTAGTTTGATTGGATCCTCGGCCCTACGCTGTGTAAAATGTCCATTTCGACTTTCGATAGTATATCCTATAAACTGCTCGTCACTAGCGATTAAGTTAGAACTGTTTGCCCGCGAGATTGACGGTGTGTGGTGGGAAAGGGAGATCCCATCCACACTGCATATCCCGCCCTACGGCGCATCAGAAACACGGCAGGTTCTTGGGACCAAACAGCCCCGAGTCTCCATTTTCATCAGGGGGTGAAATGCCAAGCCACAGGACGTTGTGCTCCCCACGGCAGTTAGGCTTTGTTTCAGGTTCTCGGCGCCGCCCAATCACACCGGGCCAGGCAGCCCGTTCCTGACGCCATGGCCCACTCCCAGAGGTTGCCACCATCCCGCTGTGGCTCCGGCGCCCCGGGGCCTGCCCAATGACCCGACAGCCGATGGGGACCCGGCCCACTCCCCCTGTCTCTCGTTCCATATTTTTTCTTGAAAAACCCATTTTCGGTGTGGGCATAATAATGGTAATGCTCAAAACACACGGGGTAATCCCATCCAAAACATAATGAACTATGGAGCGGTAATTAATATACTTTATATATTCATATGAAATCTATTATCAATTTATCAACCCCTTCCCAGTCTGGGCCTAGTGTCGGTGTCAATTCGCTGCCGAAATTGCACAATTTCTCGCCTGTCAACCTTCCCCTCGGTAAGAATCTATCCGTTTCATCCTGTAATCTCCCACCAAGTGAGGTATCGGTATGCGCATACGATACATACAGAGTGCGTCGAGGGCGAGGCACTTGCTTATGTTGGCGTACGCAGGAGGGCGTCTCGCGAGGGGGCCAGAATCTGCAGGGCAGTCTTGGGTCTGTAGTGTACCTGCGTCCACGCAGGCATGTACACTGAAGTACGGAGTGCGCGTGGGTGATAGCGCACGCTACGCTGTACACCATGTACTGTAGTCATATACCCTGTACACCTGAGCCGTCCAGAGCGGTCTAGAAATGTCGCGGCGTCAATAATCGACCGCAAAGGACCCTTGGCTTGTAGCTAGCCTCGTTGAGTGCTTAATTAAAGCTTAAGCCATACGACAGGGTTTCCGTTACCCCGTCTTGGTAGTGGTACGGAGTCCATCAACATGGTAGTAGCAGCAAGTGGCTTCGTCCTAGTACCTACCTAGCTGGGAAAGTCGTAAATAGTCAAGTAAACAAACTTCCTATATCAGTAGGCGAAATCTCACGGTATATCCGTACCATCGGGGTAACAAGATGTACATACTCAGCGGTACTTTGTACTCCGTACAGTACTTACATCTGGACCCGGGAGAACCAGCCGGGCGCTGTGGACACAACCCACCATGGGTTGTGATCAACAAAACTATTGAAATCGGATTCCTTCAAGACCGGGTGGGAGTCACTCGGAAGGGTTCCTGTCTTCCTGATCAGGGTCCGTTCTCCAGGTTCGGCCTGCCTGCCTGCCTGTCTGTCTGCCAGCACGATTTCTTTTTTTAGGCCGCGCTTGATTGATTGACCGGAAGAAAAGGAAATGGAAAGTGCCCCCTCTCTGTCCATCAGGGGTGCAGCATTGGAGCTAGTTAAGGAGTAATTGATAGGTTCCCGTTGCTTTCGAAATGGCTCATCAAGAATAGTTTATCTTTTGTAAATAGCAAGTGGGGGGTGATTGTCTACGTATGTCTTATGAGCATACCCTTTTCATAGGTCATGTCGACAGAGTCAAAAATCCAAGGAAGAAAAAGTCCGAGCGAGGTGTGCTTCCTGCTCCACCGATCAACAGGGGAAGGGCAAAGAGGAAGTTCTTTTGTTCGGCAGACAGTTGGGTCTGGAAAAACCCAGGAATAGAAAAAAAAGCATGCATACGTTTACTCCCTACTCCGTAGTGTGTATCCATCCTCCGGACCAAGTTCAGGGTCAAATCGACGGAGGAACAGGGAACCACTCGATTTCCCCGGGTTTTTACTATGGTTGCTGTCTCCGTGGCGTCGATGGAGGGGTTCTTGGTTTCGCGATTTCGCGATTTCGCGGTTCAGTTGAGGGGTTCCCAAACTTCCTGCCAGCCGAGAGGAAAGGATCTGGGTATACGGAAGACGGAGTGCTGGGTTAGCCATGGAACTGTCAAGCGAACTACAGACAGCCAGATGAATGCCTCGGGCATCAGCATCATACTGCGTGTCTGGTTGTGCCTGTCTACTCCCATCCACGCAGGCAGTTGGATGATCTGGTGGGGTCCAACCCAAGCGAGGATCGTCCATGCCGCGCGTCTACCTATGAGTAGTGGTGGTAGGATAGGAGGATTATTAGACTGCAGCGCCGGATGCACAAAGTACTGTGTACGGAGTAGTGCACAAGAATAAACCTAGCAAAGACTGCCATCATCGATGGTCAACTTTCATGACCTCATCCAGCGAGAAACATGCAACCGATCCGAGACAGCCAGACGAGCCTCGCAAGCCACAGGTGGCTTTCGGCCCAAGATCCTACCAATGAGATGAAACAGGCCATGGCGTGCCCTTAATTAATGCTCGGTCCTCCCTCAATTACGGATATTATTAGCACTTCAGTAGTGACCAGTATGGCACTAAGGCACTAAGTAACCGGTCAATTTTGATTGCGTCCCTGCCGTAGTCCGGTTTCCCGCTGAATTATGGCGGTGCAAACGGGGCGCAGTGCTATTTTAAACCGGTGGGTCGGAATGGAAGATGAGGAAGATTCGGATGTCAGGTTTAGCGTTCAGATTCAATCAATTCCGAGCGAGCGTTCCAGCATTGGGGAAAGATGATGTCAGATGCGTACGGAGTAGGTCCAGGAACCCCTGGGATGGAGAACGGATGGAACCAGACTGTCAGACTCACGGAATGACAATGACAATCAATTCAGACATGATCGAAAGACGAAAGAACAAATAATAATGGCATGTTTGTTGCGACACCAGAAGGCTGAAGCCGCACGTGCCGCCAGGGCCCAAGCGCTGCGCTGGCTGACGCGTCTTGTAGGTACTATAGAGTAGGCATATACAGAATACAGTACCTTCTATGATCAATTGATCCTACATCGGAGCATCTAAGTCTAGAGAGTAGGGAATCAAGATTTGACGATACCCAAAGATCATCCATCTCCATGGAAATCGCAACCCGACCAGCCAGACGGTAGATCTCAAGAACCTCCGGTGGGTAAGACAGCGAGTGTACCGCCACAGATAGATTGAGTGGCCAATGGGTGTTCTATAATTAATCGGGTTTCAGATGAGGCTTTCATAGCATCATAGCGTCATCGTCCTTCCTCATGCTCACTAGTGCACTTACAGTAGTGAACAACTGAACGAAGACAAATCGGCTCGTAGGGCTGCCTCTGTCCCGATCGGGAAAGCGCAAATTCTGCAAAATTGTTTGCCTGACAGCCTGATTCTCCAGGCAGCGTCATATCATACTTCCCCGGTGCATTGCATTGCAGTTGTTGACATTCAAGAATATGTAGACAGAGAACAGAGATCGGGACATGGGGTTGGGTTTTAATATCAAACAAGCAACCGGACCACCCAGTGATCCTTCTCCCCCAACGAGAGTGGCCTGCGACGACAATCTATCTGTATCTCCCTCGTCCCAAGACCGAATGATGAAGCCTCTCTAGGCGCCTTTTGAAACGCCCCACTCGCTCTCTCATCCGTCATCCTCGTTTGAATTCCCTTCGCTTTTCCTCTCTAACTCCCTCTGTCTGTCTCTGTCTGTCTATCTGCGTCTGCCGCTGCCATCATAATCCTTCCTCCACCCGCACCCGATGATTGGCGCCGTTGCTATTCTTGACCTGACTTGATCCAGGTGTAAAGCTTCCATCCTTTTAGCGATCCAACGGCCCCGTCCGTCATTAAATCACCTCAACCCAATCGATCAATTCAAATAAAGTCATCTCTCTTTCCATTCGGTCCGCTTTTCTTTTTTCTCCCTCTCTCTCTCTCTTCGATTTCCTTGTTTTACTCTCGTCCACTTCCTTTCTCGCAACATTCGCTTGTTTGCTTTTCTCCTTCTCCCATTCATAAGAGAGGGCAAAAACCCCGTTTCTTATTTTCTCTGCCACCCCCTCACTCATCTTTCTCTCTCGCTCTGAGGACTAGTCAACTTCCCCTTCTGTCTCTCTTTTCCCACCTCGTACTTTTTTATTGTCTTTCTCTTGCATCGAGCCTGGTCTTACCCCTCATAATAATCCCTCACATTTGCGACCGCCACAAGCCCAGCCAAACGCCCCACGGCCCTCCTTTGTTCGCTGTCTCGCCTCCCCTGGTCGCCGTCTATCCTCTCTTTTCCCCTCTTTCCCCGTTCCACTCTTTCAAAGTGTCTACCTCAAAAGCCGCCGATCTGGCTACCCTGGCGGACCCGAACGAGTTGTTTTTG